CAGCAGGAAACACACGTTCAAGGTCAGTGCTTGGAGGGGACGGAGCACTGGGACAGTGCTGGGGTGGCGGTGATGCTCGCAGGGTCCCCGCTGCTCCCTCTTCTTGCTTTCTTGGTGACGGGGCGTGGAGCAAGCTGGGGAGAGGGGTGGCTGCAGTAAACCCCCGGGGATACCCTGCGCGCTGTGCGGATGTGCCTTCTGCCTGGGAAACTGAGGCACGCATGGAGCAAAGCAGCATCTCCAAGGTCATCACCCATCCCAGGCCTGAGCTGCTCCTGGGCTCTGCCCCTTGGGGTGCGCTGCTGCCCCCCAACCCGGGGAGGTGCCGGGTGCAGGGCGAGCAGCAGCGCTGCCCTCGCCGATGGTGCTCTCGACCCTCTCCCTGCCCTGCTTTCCCCTCCACATTGCTGCTCCCGGCCAGCCTGTCCCCGCTGGCTGCTGCGGCAATTCTCGGCAGAGCTCCTGGAGCCAGACCTAGAGAGGTGTCCCCAGCTCCTCTTTGTTTTGTAGCCTGCTTTGACTGGCGTGCAAAGGAAAGGGAAATGTAGTTGCAAGGGGGTAGCCGACTCGTCAGCCTGCGCTGCCGTGGGTGGTGGAGAGGAGAGCAGTGAGACGCAGAGGGCGGCTGCTGCAGCCGGGGCTCTCCCGCAGCCGCCTCCGGCAGCAGACCTTGGCTACCCCTCGCTCAGAGCAGGGGCTGAGCTTCCCCGACACCGCACAGCACTTGTCGGCAGCACCACGCACCTTCACCAGCACAACTGCTCGTGCTGCCCACGGTCACTGGGAGGGTCATGTTAGCACTTGCTTGGTGACGGACCGATGCACAGGCTGGCTTGCACTCGTGTACACTTGTGCAAAAACCCAGTGTACACCTTCAAGCTCGTGAGCATGGCAGGAGCCAGCGCCTGGGGTCCCTGCAGGGCAGTGTGGAGGAGTTTTTCCAGTCTAAGGGATGGATTTTTGTACCTGCCTCCTTTAAACCTGTGTTTAAGCTGCAGCTGAGCACTGTTTAGGGGTAAGCGCTGGCAAGAGGCAGCACGGGCTCTCCCGTGTGCCTGTGCTGACGCTGGCAAGTGGCAAGGTGTCTCTTTGCCTGCGGCTTCTGCAGGTGAGAGCAGAGAAGTGACCTGGGGGTGTCGAAATGTCTCTTGGCTTCTGACACTGGTGGGGAAAGAGCCTTGCAAAGCTGCTGCCCACGAACTGAGCTCTGCAGGCGCGTGCCTGCCTCTCCATCTGCATGCGAGGGTTTTGGGGGATGGTTTTGCTCAGAGAAGGGTAGAGAGGGTCCCGACGGCCAGGAGAGGTCTGTGCTGCAGCGCCCGCGCTCCTGCCACGCTGCGGCTTGACCCTTGTCTGTGTTTCCTCCTCTCTCCGCGGGCGAGGATCCCCGGACAGGAGGTCTCTCTTCGTGCCCGTCCACCACGCCAGCACCCAGCCACCACCTAGGTAGTACCTTCTTGTGTTTCTGATGCATGCAGAAGGGTGAGGGACCCGCAGGCTTGCCAGCATGCTCCCCTCACCCCGCTCGCACTAATCCAGGGGATGAATTGGTTTGGTTTGATCTTCTGCTCTGGCTGCGGAGCTTTTAGAGGCAGGAGTGCATGGGGGTTGCAGGAGGTGACCCTGCAGCTGGGCACAATGGCTGCGTGCACTGGGGAAGGGGAAGATGGAAACCCAAGGGAGGGTTTTAATCAGAACCCCATTTCCCATCTTTCAGGGGGAAAAACCTCCTGCTTCCTCCCTTTTCTTCCTCCTCGCTGCTTCCCATCCCTTTCCAGAGGGGGAAGGTGGAAGCTTTGAAAAGGCCCTGAATAGCCAGACCTGCCTTCCAGCACGGGGTGGAGAGTGGGCACCAACATCTTGGACCAAAAGCAAACCTTTTTCCCCCAAAATGTTGTCCGGGCCCAGAAGCCACCTTCCCCCTAACCCTGCATGAAAGATAACGTTCCGTCCGGCGCTGCCACTGTTGCTGGGACGTGGACCCTTTGCTGGCCCCATGCACCCCACGGGGACCCGCTCGATGCTGGGGTGCAGCTCCTCCGGCGTGGGGCCCTGAGGAGGCTGGTCCCAAGCATCGCTGGGGGCCACTGCAGGGGACTCGTGGCCCCAGGGGATTCCCTGACAGCTGGTGTTGGCTCTGCCAGCAGAGCCTTCCTCCCACTCGGTGCCACCGAGGATGCATGTGGCTGCGAAGCTCTGGCAGGGGGGAAGGACCGTGCCTGGCTTCTCCTGCGACGGCAGGACCTCGTGCCGGAGTGGAAATGGAGCTCTCACCCTCCTGTCTGTCTCTCTCCCCACTTCTCTGCTTCCCTGCAGGTGACGGTGTGCTGGGTGGAGGAGATGCCAGCGAGTAACAAGCAGTCCCTGTCTCCCCAGGCCGAGCATGCTGGCATACGGACCTACTTCTTCAGCGCCGAGAACACGGAGGAGCAGGAGTCCTGGATCCAAGCCATGGGCGAAGCCGCCCGGGTGCAGATCCCCCCGACCCAAAGGTCAGTGCCCACCGTCTCCCCGTGCCACCCCTCTCCCCTGGTCTCTTGGAGATGGGGTGGAGGGGCCATGCATCGTGACCAGGGACCTCCTGAGAACGTGAGCATCCCTCTGGAGAACGGAGCTGGGGGAGCATTGGCCCCCCGAGGCTGAGGGAGGGACAGGATGTTACCGGCCATCCCAGGACCGTTGCAAAGGGAAGGTAACCCTCTCTCCTGTCTCGGCACCCGCCAGGCACGAGAAGCCAGACTCTGAAAACATCCCCCCCAGCAAACACCACCACCACCACCGCAACGCCACCCACCGCGAGCACCCCAAAGCCGC